GACCTCGTCAAGTGTTAAATCACCTCAGATTCGTGGTTCCAACATTAAACACTAAAGCGGCAAAATTGCGTGTCAGATGTTCGCGTTCGTTCCTTGTCTCTCGAAAGAAAATTAGACAGCGTAGACCGAACGACGCATAGGTAACAACTCAGTGTACTGGCAGGCACGAAGGACCTCCTCCTGAAGAAGAGGATGCTATACCTGTGTGGTTATTTTGGAAATTAGGCCAGGGTCAGTATGGATATCCTCTTGTCTCCTAGGGTAAGAAATCGAGCATGCCGGCCATTTCGATTGAACATGTGACGGAGAGAATCCTGATCTGATATGTAAATGACAAGCAGGCGATGCTTATTGTCACTGTTGCTAATGCCCCTACAAATTTACCGAGTGACAGCGACAAAGAAGCTTTTTAAGATTACTTGCGGTTGACATTTGTTGTTTTTTGCGTAAGAGTGCCAAAGTTGTCACCAGCGACCTCAACGAGAGTACAGTACAGTACATTGCCAGCCGTACTCGGACGTCATTGTATTGACAAGTGCATGACAACGGCAGGTTCAATTGTAATATTTAATATTTGCTCCACAAATAGCTTAATCAGGACGGGAACGTTTTTCCTTATAGGCGTACAAACCACTGGAATGTTCTATGATGAAAGCCTAAGCACCCAGCTGGATCGCGTCCATCAGTCGCAAATGGCACAATTCGTTACTCGAGATTCCCTTCAACGTGACAACTGCATTTAATCTGATCACCATATGATCATAGCGAAACTTCGTCTTAAGGGAACCGCTTCATGTCGACACCATCTCATTGAAATAGAGTAACAGCTCAATGTTTACAGTTTAAAATGTTACGAAGCAGCGCGACTGCCCTGTCAATAAAGGCTCACTCATAGTGCCTGGGCGGGAAGTAGCACCATCGATTAAGCTTAAAAAGATTTCAAAGAAGCGGTCATTTTCTGAGGTACATTTCTGGGTGACACTGTATTTGGGGTCAGGTAGAGAACAGGCTAACTGCAGTAATTTGCAGAGAACTGCCTATCCTTAGAGAGCAAAAGAATCAGGCAAAAAAGTGGTACTTGCGACATCTTACTACACTCAGCTTATCGCCGTCTTGTTTACGCAATCAGCAACTGACACAAGGGAAACATGGTGTTTAGTTGAAGGGGAAAATTAGGGAGATTGACAAGACAGCCAGAAGAGTGACTGGCGAACAGTCTTCAATTGAGTTTGACAGTTGTCCGGTAAGCAGGAGACCCAGTCTGTCTTTATCCAAGACACTAAGGTGTCCTACTGCCAGATCTGAAGGAACGCTTCGAAAGGTGGGCTGAGCATTTCTAGCCGCTGCCTCAATGGCTGCCATAC